GCATCCCTACTTAATACATTTTCAAATTTCTTAAATTAAATTGTTTTATAGAATAAATAACCTGCTTCCTAATATTAGTTTTCAAAGCTGCTCCTATGGACCAACTGTCCTGCAGAATTAGGTGTTTCCCTGCCTTTATAACCAGATTAACGGGCCTCTGCAGTGATTGCAATAATCTGCTGGATTATTACTGCTGCTGTAAAACAACAGGAGGCTCTATTTACAAATTCCTTTTATAATATGAAATTAAACAAATCCCTTGATTATTGCACTGAATTGCCAAAACATATGTTTAAAATCGGAAAGTGTTTGTTTATCATATTACGATTTGGAGGTTTAACGAATGCCCTCAGTGTTTTATTTTATGACTGGAAAAAAAACAAAACAGAACTAAACCAAATTAATGGATCCTTTGTGTGGGATGCTAAATGAATGATCCGAGGTAGCTAATCCATCAGTGAGCGGGACATCAGTTCACTTCACTTCATGCCAAAAATAAACATGTTTCAGACGAGTGGAGAGAAAAGGCTCTTCTCGTCCTGATAAACATGTAGCACTAAGACCTGAAGGAGCCGCTGAGAGATAAGTTAATGAATGTTTGGACAGAGTCAAGCACCCCGACAGCAGAAGGGGGAACAAGATTATGGCTGAAGATAAAAAAAAGTAAAAAAAAATCATTATTAAAATGTTAAAAAGAAAGTTTTGGATATCAATCTTTATGGTTTCTTATTTTCTCCCCAGATGACTCGGACGAGGAGGTGATTTGGTATCATTCGTCGGCTGTCAGGACGGATCCTCTCAGCTGTTTCCTGTATCTGCTGCTCCTTCCTGTCCTCCTCGTTCTCTGAACTGCCCCTAAAACAGACTCCAGGGAAACGGGAAGCTCTTTATTCCTCTGCAGAGGTGCTGCTTTCATCTGCAGCCGGAATTTTCTCTCCTGAACTCGCTGAACAGATGAAGCTGAAGGACTGATCAGATGATGATGATGTGATGATGTCAGCCTTTAAAGTGTTTCCTTAGTTTATCCCAAAACGAATGAAATGGGAATTTAAAGGAAACTGTACATAAGATTTAGTTTTTATCTCTTTGTTTTCTCTTTGTGAAAGAAAATACTTGTGATTCTTGTTAAAAACTTGCACAAACTGATCTGATGTGACACTTTGTCTTTAAATATAACCTTAATGTGTTTAACTAATGCTTTATTTATGTTGCTGTTGCGTAGAGTTTGATTTAAGGGAAGCAGGTTTTAATCTGGGAAGATCCACTGAAGCCGATGGTCTTTCTCAGCCTCTGTTATCTGGAGGTATTTCCAGAGGAGAGCCGTTCTCTCCTAACTCTTATCTTCACAGTTTATTGATGAGGTCTGATTTGATTATCTGCTGCTTTCTTATCTTGAACAAACACAGGAGCTGCTGCTCTGCAGTCCGTCAGCTGGTTTGTGGCTGCAGCTCCAAACCATAAGCAGCAGAATAAGAAAATGAAGGTTTATTTCTGTGATTTAATGCTCTGTCTGAAGAGTTTTGTGTGCAAAGAAGGAGAAAAGGATCCTGCATGTCCAAAAGCTGCAAATGTAAGGAGGATTTTTATACCAATGAAGGTTAGGCTGATTATAAAAAGCATGCTTCAAAAACATTCTGTTCTGTTTTGTAAATCAGAGGGAAACGGTTGCAATCTAAAGTTTTTACAGTGAATGTTGTGTAAAGTGTGCGTATTTATATCATCCCTCTTTATTCTGCTACGCTTAATAAAATCCAGTGCAACCAGGTACCTTCAGAGGTGCAATTTAGTCGAAGTTTAAAACCAGATTACAAAGCTTGGAACTGTAGTTGTTTTGTTTTAACAGCACATTTTGTTCAAATCTATTTTTGTTTTGCTCTTTTTTTTTTTCTTACATTGGATTACAAATTCATCCAGTACTGACTGCCTCTTTCATCTGCAAATAAAGTGATGAATGAGAAACATGAGATGTTCTTTCCTGCCCAGATCCTTCCTTCTGGTATCAACCTTTTATTTTGCATTTGTTTAACAGCATCGATCTGGTGAATCTACTGTATGCTGCACCAGCGACAATAGCTTGTTCCTCTTCAGAAGATTCTCCTAGTTTATTTCATAGAAAACAGATCTGATTGAATGTCATTTTCATTCTTTATCAGTAAAATATCTTTGAGTAAAAGCAGAGATCATATCTCTCCTATCCTGGCTTCTCTTCATTGGCTTCCTGTTAAATCCAGAATAAAATTTAAAATCCTCCTTCTCACATATAAAGCCTTAAATGGCCAAGCTCCATCTGATATCAGAGATCTGATTGTTCCTTATGTTCCTAACAGAGCACTTCGCTCTCAATCTGCAGGTTAGAATTTCTAAAAGTAGAATGGGAGGCAGATCTTTTAGT